AAGGATCTGGGGCAGGGATCGTCTGTTGTCAGCCCCACTGACGAGAGTCTGACAGACGATCCCGAGACGAAACGCTCTTTTCTCCCCTCCTCCTACAATAGGATTTTATAATTTTCCTATCCGGTATTCCCTTTATTATCAACACTCCCTTTGGCTAAAATACACGTTTAGTATGATTTTAGAGACTCTAAAAAGTTGAAGTTGATAGCTGCAGTAGATTCTAAGAAAAAGGAACACGAAGTTGCGCCTTTATCCTTCTATGTATCCAAGAAAATGTCCACTCCTCTTAAGAGGATATATATTAATGCAGGTGGTCAAAGCGGATGAGAAAAATTACGTCCTCGTATGGACTTTCAATGACACTCTAGCACCAAAATTACTGTTGGAATGTCCCAGAGAAGTGACGACAGTGGCTGCGAATCTATTGGATGGTAATCAAATCGTGGGTGGTTGTGCGAATGGACAGTTAAGTAAAAAAAACCTTCTTCTTCTCTTAATAAATACTGTAACAAATGATATATGAAGCTCTGAAAATTGCTGCAGGTGGTACTTTGGCATATTCCAGGAAAAATCGAACAAATAGAAACCGTCATTGTGACCACTGCTATTCAAATGAAGTACAAAGCTTTGATCAGAAATCTGACTACATGGATGCACGAAGCAGTTGGATCATCCTTCGTTAGACCTACAGTAATGTCTTCGTTGAAGGACAGCCAGAAGGCAGCTATAACTCATATTGAGTGGCTCTCTCCCTTCGATAAAGTGGACAAAAATGGAAGGATTATAACATTGTCGGATGACGAGGATGTTGAGAATTTATCGTCACAATTTATTACTGCCAGCGAGGATGGGACAATAGCTTTCTGGGATTTAAAGTTAGTACAGTCGGATGCATAAATGATTTTCGTTTGGATAGAGATTTAAAGAATATCATAGTAAAACTTATTTTACATCATTTTTATCATAAGATGGGAATCGTTCGAGCAGAGGAGCCATCGAACTCCCAGAAAAAAATTCAAAAGCGAGCTTCACGCTTTAAGAAAATCTATTTCTCCACTGAAGACCCTTGATCGAGTCTTAAAACCACACTACGTGCTGGTGGTTCAACATCCTCTCGAGAGTCGAAGACAAGTGATCACTACTCTCAGTATCTACGTGCCAAAGTTTGAAAAGGAACGCGTCGACGTTACTTTGCCTACCAAGGATTTCACTATCAGAAGATTCTTTAGAAATATAATCAAGAAGCCAGATTTTGTGATGGAAACAAAAATCAATATTGGAACCGTGGAAGGTGCAGCTTGCAATCTATTTGAAATATTTCATTGATTCGTATATCAATTGTCAATGATAGGTGAGTTTGGATGCATCACATGGGAAGGATACGACTTTGCCACAGACTTGGCTGTTAATACTGAAATCTGTAAATGGTCCTGGTTTAAGAAGATGCACGATGGACCCGTGACCCATGCTATTAGGTCCAGATACGACAGTAATATAATTGCAACAATAGGGGGAAAAGTGTTTGCTATTTGGAGGGATGGTGTTGATGTGCCATTGATGTGGAAGAAATCAGATGTTAGGTATGATTGTAACTACCAATCCTGTTTTATTTATTACTGATACGTTTGTTTAATACAGAATCAGTGGTTGTATATGGGGCAGATTCCGGCCCACAGTTTTGATCTTGGCACGGATGGACGGCACCGTGGAAATATGGGACTTCATGATTAAAAGTCAAGAACCGTGTGTTAGGCAGAGCCTATCAGGACACATAATCACAGGGATCTACACCCATGAGTTACACCTGGATCCTTATGTTATAGGATTTTGCGACTTTAATGGTATCTTGAGAGTGTTCCTGCCTCCCATGATCTACCTTAAATCAGATACTGCCAACATTGAATGGATGGAGAAATTTCTTGAGCGACAAATCAAAAGAGTATATTTACAATATAATAATCATCATAGCCTATGATTATCTACTTTTTTCTAATCAAGGTGAACAAGTGCAAGGATTGGCAGAATAAATGGAAAGAGGCGAATTATGAGAACATTAAGGAGAAACAGAGGCAAGCAGAAGAAATGGGAAAGACGAAGCAATTAGAAGAAGAAGGAGAAGAGAAGGCAAAACTTAAGTTAAGGGAAAAGGAAATAGCTGACATAGAAATTAAAGAACCAATCACTGTATGTGTTGCAAAAATACTTTCAGAAAATGGAATGGAAATATGATGGTGTGCATTTTATAGAAAAGATGGGAGCTTATCGAACAAGCTCGCGAAAGATGGAGAGCTAGGCAGCTGAGAAATATGCAGCGGACGATTTTAGAGAAGAAAGGACTGAGAAAAGAAGAACTTGAGAAGCAACGCGAACCGATACTCAGGATGCGACAAGACGCTAAAAAGAAGAAACAGAAATTGCAGGAGACGTTGAAAATGCAAGAGGAGATTTTTGAACATTCTAAAAATCTGTTCATACCTAAACGTAAATCAGAGACTGCAAAAGTTTCCATAGAAGCTGATCCGGTAAAAATTGAAGCTTCTGTTGAGGAAGTTATTCTTCAACGAGAAGTAACAGTAAATAAAAAACCCAAACTAATCTTTTAAATGATCATGTTTCTCTGTACAGTATCAGATTCGTGTTATTTAAACAGATCGACAAGATGGATCCAAACGAGGAGATACTTTACGACTTCATGCAAACACAAATGGAAGTGTTAGACGAACTTCAGAAGCATCCCTTCCAGCATTCGTTCAATTGGCGAAAAATCCTGACGGAAGGCAAAACCAGAAGAATTTCCATGGATTCTGAATTAAGAACATTAACCAAAGCAAAGAAGAAGTTCAGTAAATCTTATGAATAATAGTTTAACATAGCAATAAATGTCTACTTTATATTAATTAACTTTAAAACATTGAGTTATAAATAATTGAATTCATCAAAATTAAATTGGAAGAAGAAAATGAGGAAACACAAATTCTAGTTTAATTCTGAGAAAATCCAAGAAACTTTACTTCCTGAAAATGTGCTGGCAGAGAAGTGTAACAATTCACTCAACTAAGAGCTACAAAGTTCCACTTACAAAAGGAAAGACTGTCAGCGGGGTTTCAATTGCGCGAAACACTGTTGCGTAGGTGAATCACAATCAGGTGATTCACATTCGTAGGTGAACTGGCAATCAGAGCTTGCAAATATAATATCCGGTATTCGTTATAAGAAGGATTCAAGCAGACAAAAGAGAGCAATTTGCCACCGTAATTATCCCCACCTTCCGCCGTATACACCGTAAACGTTCTTCAGTTTGGCCGTAATGTTTTGTATTAACTATTACGATTTACAGTAGTAAATCTACCAATGAAAAGACAAGCTTCAGGCTCAACTCATAGTCTATGGAAAGTTTCATAACTATATGTATATGATATCAGCAAAAAATTAATTTTTCTAGATCATCAAATAAATGAAAGTCAATTTGGAAATTATTTTCATGGACGTTCAAAGAGGTTGCTTAATCCTTGAAGCTGACAGATACAGTGGTTTTTTTTCTTCATCCATTATACAAATCTAATTTGAAATATAGTATATTCACATAGTTTTCACACAAGATATTTATTTATCAAGAATCAAGAGGAAAAACAGAATTCCCCAGTGCATCATAAGCAGATAAATAAAATTTTAAAAATAAACAAAACATGTCAAGTGGTATCTTGACTATTCATATAATTAATATCAAAGTAATAGCAAGCAGTTTCTGAGTTATGCGATACAAATTATTCTACATATACAAGGTGTTTCATAACTCCTATAACACCCGGAATTGAGGGGTTGCTGGGGTGATTCTGAACAATTTTTTCCTTTACTAAAATGTTGGTTGAAGCTTCGTTTTTGAATTATTAACGAAAAACACTGGCCAATGAGAGCGCGCGCTCAAGCACGAGAGCGTAGGCTCTCAACCGCGCTCGATCGTGGTCGCGAACAAACGCATTGGCACCTTCGACCATATACATATGTATACTCATACACACGGCCTGTATATACGGATCCACGAAACGAAGGTGAAGAAAAAATAACGGAAAAGGTTGTCCCCATGTGACGTCACAAGATATTTCCAGATGATTCAAAATGGCGGTTACTGCCTAATCAACCTAAAGCAAAATATATATATATATGTACTGACAATGAGTTGCATTGAACTTGTCGCAGTGAAGTTGGCTACAAATTCACTGCGACAAGTTCAATGCAACTCAGGGTACATATGTATGTACATACTATAGACTCAACGACGAAGTTTTATCGTTACTTTGTCCCCTTGTGACGCCACATATATTATTTTATCTTTTCTTCAACGTAGTTATCTGAAGCCGCGTCTATAAGTATATATGGTCGAAAATTGGCACAGCGTGAGTGTCAAGGGAAGCGTGCGATAAATGTTACATTGTCTTAAATTAAGAACAACGTGGAATTAGTCGCACACTTCCCTCGATACCCACGCTGTGCCAATGCGTTTGTTCACGATCACGACTGAGTGCGGTTGAGAGCCAACGCTCTTGAAGTTGAACGCGCGCTCTCATTGGCTAGTGTTTTTTCGTTAATAATTCAAAAACGAAGCTTCAACCAACATTTTGGTAAAAGAAAAGATTGTTCAGAATCACCCCAGCAACCCCCCATTTCCGGGTGTTACAGGAGTTATGAAACACCCTATATTGACCTCTGATTTAGCTCAAGCTACAGTTGCATAATATAAGAAAACAGATAATGAGTGATTATCATATTTATGTGATTTATAATCATACTCTATACTAGGATAGTTCTGACAATATTAATGATACATATATTTTTTGCAGGAATAATTCAAGGTCTTCAGATGAATAGTAGTTTAATTGATTACCCTGTACATGAAGAATACTGTGTGAAGAGAAATCTAGGTCCTGAATCTTTGAACGCGTTTGATGATCGTCTTGTCACGCTGGTACCTAGTACATGATTTAATAGCGCATGATCGTTCTCGAAGTTTGTTCGTAACCGTTTTGGAAGAACACCGAACGAAGGAGGGGCGAAGGGGGGATGCGTTTAATAGTACAGGTGGTCGTATAAGCGGGAGTAATCTCAGCATCCAGCCAGTTAGTCAGTGTCCATGATAGTGAGTACATACATGTGGTAAGTTCCTTTTACTTTCCATGTTTATTCATCAAGGCTGAAAGTGTACAGCGCAGTATCTTCTCGCCGACAGATCTTTATGTTCATTTTAAAGATTTTCAAAGATTTTGTATTCAAATATAAAATAACTAAACTATTCATTATAAATTGGTAATTTTAACATGATATATTTTGGATTTCTTTATATTATTTATCTGACAAAAATCAATTTTACGGTGTGAAAACGAAAATAATCATTGTAAACCTTTAATAAATAATTTACTTTCATTTTCAGATATTTCAACATGAATCGAATGATCGTTTTGTTACTTGGAGTAGTGGTCGCCGTCAGTGCAGAGGTAATTCAATTCCAATTTAAAAGAAAAAGCTAAAAGTAATGGTAGCTGACAGTGAATCTGTGAATAACGTTTTAGATTTCAATAATAAAAATATTTCTTTTGGCATATTCATTAACTGAGCCCTACATAGGGATCAGTGAAATTTTCTAAAATCCAGATTTGCGTTAATTAGCCTTCATCAACTTTTGTATATGTATATCACAGCAAAAAACTGCACACGTCCATCTGGTGCCCCACAACGCCGAGACGAAGAATGTAACCGGAGAGTTGACTATTACCCAATCGGCAGACAACACTGTCGAAATCACCGGCACGGTGTACGGTCTCACGGAAGGATTGCATGGTTTCCATGTACACGAAAAAGCAGATATGAGAGAAGGTTGCAATTCTACTGGCCCCCATTTCAATCCTACAAATGTAAGTTATTTTTTTAACGAGACATTTTACACTAACATAGAAAATGTTAACACCAGGAAATGGGGGGTTGCTGGGGTGATTCCGAATAACTTTTTCCTTTACCGAAATGTTGGTTGAAGCTTCGTTTTTGAATTATTAACGAAAAACACTGGCCAATAAGAGCGCGCGCTCAACCACGAGAGCGTTGGCTACACTGTCCAACAGTGAATTTGTGTTCCGATTCTCACTAGGTGCTTCTTATAGTGTTTTGTACGCTGATTACGAATCTGGAAACCGTTTTGTTCCTATATGTACAGTTTTTGAGAAATTTGATTTTGAAAAAAAAAACATATTTTTCAGATTTAAACAAATTTTCTGACGTAATTATAAAAGATATTGAAATTCTATTTACACTGAAAGATTCTGTAGACTTTCCTGAATACATCGATACCTATCTTTAATACATTATAAATGTTTAAGTATATTTAAACGGTCATTGAACGCGGAGGGACCCCGAATTGGCACCAATTTTTTAGGATATTTTTCAATTTATCCGAAAAACTAGAGGTCCAGCGTAAAATTGAATTATACCACGCGATAGAGCAGATTTTTATCTTGAAAAACCACCCAAAGAAAGTTGCAATATCGATTTTTTTATCAAGCCAGACAGCGAAATAGCTTCGCGGGAGAAGAAGTACCGACAGTTGCGTATGTCAGAAGTACCGACTGTCGGTGCTTCGTCTCCCGAAGCTATTTCGCTGTCTGGCTTGATGAAAAAATCAATATTGCAACTTTTTATGGGTGGTTTTTCAAGATAAAAATCTGCTCTATCACGTGGTATAATTCGATTTTACGCTGGACCTCTAGTTTTTCAGATAAATTGAAAAATATCCTAAAAAATTGGTGCCAATTCGGGGTCCCTCCGCGTTCAATGACCGTTTAAATATACTTAAACATTTATAATGTATTAAAGATAGGTATCGATGTATTCAGGAAAGTCTACAGAATCTTTCAGTATAAATAGAATTTCAATATCTTTTATAATTATGTCAGACAATTTGTTTAAATCTGAAAAATATGTTTTTTCTTCAAAATCAAATTTCTCAAAAACTGTACGTATAGGAGCAAAACGGTTTGCAGATTCGTAATCAGCATGCAAAACACTATAAGAATCACCTAGTAGAGATCAGAACACAAAAAAAAAAAGTTAAAATTTGTTGGACAGTGCTATCAACGGCGCTTGGTCGTGGTTGTGAACAAACGTATTGACACAAACGCATTGGTTAGTAATGAATAACAAATAATTCCACATTGTTCTTAATTTAAGACGATGTAATATTTGTCACCCGCTTCCCTCGATACCCACACTGTGCCAATATGTTTGTTCACGACCACGACCGAGCGCGGTTGAGAGCCAACGCTTTTGGTAAAGGAAAAAGTTGTTTGAAATCACCCCAGCAACCCTCCATTTCTGGGTGTTACGCGAGTTCCGGGACACCCTGTATAAGTATTTTAAAATGATAAAATAGTGTATAAAATATTTGTATGAAAATCAATTTCTCCTCGACCCTTGTGGTTAGGCTACCCACGGTGCACCGGATAGCGCAGTAAGACACGTTGGCGATCTGGGAAACATCCGGGCAAATGCTCAAGGAGAAGCAAGCGTAAACATTAAGGACACGGTCATTTCACTCACCGGCGTAAATAGTATTCTGGGACGCGCGATAGTTGTTCACTCCGGCGAAGATGATCTAGGAAGAGGTAACACTACACTTTCAGCGACCACCGGCAACGCAGGAGGTCGTTGGGCTTGTGGCGTTATCGAAGCTAAATAGGTTTATATTAAAAATTTCATCTATCCTATCTGTTTATGTATTTTTTCTTAATTTCGTTAAAATTTTCTTTCTTTCATTTCCAGATTCTTATAAGGTATGGACGAAAGATAAAGTATAGCATGACAGGGCAATCGGATTATAAAAATGTGGCATAATGGCTTTCAAACAGCTAAAATCTTTGGTTTCGACTGTAAGAATTTGTAAATTATGTCTCAAAACAGTGCTTTTTAATTAGTATGTTACTCTTGTGATTATCATCTATATTCTTTGTATTAAGATTATCCCTGTAGCTATTGATATATTACATTTTTAATTACGTATTTAATATGTCGTGTATTTTTGTGTTCTTTCACAGGACCTGTACCTACATTGTTATTCCATCATTATTCCAACTAAAGTCAAAATCAATCACATCTAGTTTATTTCATCCTCGTTGCTTTTAATGCAATAAATGCATTTTAATGACATTATTTAAAACAAATATTATCAGTAAAGAAAGTTTTGCGGGTCAGTGGGCATCGACGAGAGACTGAGGTCTATTAAACTATCTGAGTCAAATCATTAGAATATAAAAAAACATATATGAAAATTTTGTGCTAATTATTTGCTTTTTTTTGCTATAAAAAGTAATCTTTTTGCTCCAGCCATTAAAAAGTTACAAAGGGCTAGATAGCTTAATATTAAGCCATTTAGCCATTGTAAAAAATAGCATATAGTAAAATAAAACAGAAGATCAATAACATAAATTTTTGGCTATTTTTTTGCTATATTTTACATTGAAAAGTATTTCTTTTGCTCCAACTGTTACAAAGTTACAAAAGGTTTAAAGAAAAAATTTAGAACTTGAATATTTTAATAGCAAATAATTCAGGGAACATTTTGACATGATAATGTCCAAGTAAATAATTATTTAAAACACCTCACTCTTATAGTTTGGGTGGTGCTCTTATCCATTTTTAGTCTTGTTTTATGAGCAGAAAATTCAAGAACTCACATATTATGACAGCAAATAATTCAGGAGACGTTTTGATGTCACGAAAAGACTAAAAATGGATAAGAACACCACCCAAACTATAAGAGTAAGGTGTTTTAAAAAATTATTTACTTGGACATTATCATGTCAAAATGTTCCCTGAATTTTCGATATATTAAAAAAATTTATGAATTCTATTCCAAGTTCGTCCGGCAGTTCTATCCGCCCGATTTGCATTATTTTTTTTTTAAATGAAAGATATTCTTGCATAGATAACGCAACAAGCATTGGAATACATCTACCTTTCGCCCCTCTTAAGTTATACTCACAGGTGATTTTTCTGGAATTTCTCTCCACTCAAAGCTTCTTATCTCCGGTTCTAATTGAGGTACGATGTTCGTTTTTGTCTAAGAACACTCAGTGAATTAAGCTCTTTCATTTGAGCTATTGACCAGTTACATTGGATGACTTGAAGCAGAGTTAGGCCCGATACACACTAGCGGTTCGGTCCCGGTCCGTTCTCGGTCCGGTAAAATATACTCCAATGTAAATCTTATGAGAGCATACACACTATGCGTCCGCTCCAGCTCCGGTTCGATCACGCTCCAATCCCGGTCCGGTCTCGATTTCTCACGAAGAATATTTTCCTGGGACGGGACTGCGCTCCCTCGTTTGAAACGCTTCAGCTTGTACATTTCCACCTTGTAGTGGCATTTTCAGGATTAGCTATGAGTTTTCTACAATAAACTTTGAAGGTGTGTGATAAAATCCCAAATGCATACTCGACTAATCTTCTTCCTTTACATAATCGATAATTAAATTTTTTTTTTAATATCTTCTATACTTTTTGATCCTAGATAAGGCCGCATTAAATATTTCTTAAATGGAAATTGTTTAATATCATTATTTTTTAACCGACTTTGAAAAAGGAGGAGGTTACTCAATTCGATCAGTATATATATATACTTTTTTTTTCCATATGAACCTATATAAGCTAATGCCAAAAGTACAATCGAAAAAGACTTTTTATAATTGACTATCAGATCGACAGCGGCTCGAAAGTGGCATAGCAGTATGGGTACGGTAAGATTTTACCGAACGGAGACCGGACCGGGACCGAACCGTCATAGTGTGGATCTAGTCGTGCAGTAAGATTTTACCAGACCGAGACCGGACCGGGACCGAACCGCTAGTGTGTATCGGGCCTTAGATGCGCACAACAAAGTTGAATTTCAATTTTTCTAATAAAACTAAATTACCAACTTTGTTCCGTAAATTTTCATTATAAATAAATAAATAAATAAATAAATGAGGTACCGTTTTAAAAATCAAGTTCCCCTTTTCTGATGAATTGTTAATTTAGAACTGTACAATCTGTTATTTGTTTAAAAAAATCAAAGTTAAAAACTGATGTTTGAATGCGAATTTTTCGCACGGGTCAACTAGTTTGCTATTAAAATATTCGAGTTCTAAATTTTCTGTTTGCAAAATAAATTAAAAATAGTTTATAAAATTATCTAGCTTTTTGTAACTTTGTAACAGTTGGAACAAAAAAAATACTTTTCAATGTAAAATATAGCAAAAAAATAGCAAAAAATTTATGTTATTGATTTTTTGTTTTATTTTACTATATGCTATTTTTTTTTTTTGGCTTAATATTAAGCTCCCTAGCTCTTTGTAACTTTTTAATGGATGGAGCAAAAAACTTACTTTTTACGGCAAAAAATAGCAAATAATTAGCAAAAAATTTTCATATATGTTTTTTTATATTCTGATGATTTGGCTCAGATAGCTTAATAGACCTGAGAGACTGTTCTGACGTTCTGACTGCCAGGACAGTCTCTCGTCGGCGCAGTGGGTCACAAATGTCCTTTATTTAGAAAAGAAAAAAGAAAAGCAGTTTTCTGTTTTGTTAGTTTTGCCACGCTCTAGCGGTACTGTTTTCAATATCGTCGATTTAAAAACATAACCGACTCTCGGTCGTGATCTCGATGCGAGAGGACGTCTGTATGTTCCGTTTAAAGTGTACATTGGGTTTCATCGAACTTGTCGCGGCGTGTGACTCTAACACATATTCACGGCGGCAGTCAATTGGCTGCAATCCCTCCTTCGCGTGCCCCTCGCCAATCGGCTCTCCGGTGTGAATATGTTAGTTTCACACGCCGCGACAAGTTCGATGACACTCAATGTACATGCTGAGTTAATTGTGTTGTTTCCGTGTGACTCGTGTCTGCTCTGCAGATCTGTTTGCTTTCATCCAGCACTTTTCTTTTTGTGGACTACTAGACTATATAGGGTGCAATATCCTAGTTTTAGCTTCGGACACGTGCCCTAGCACGTTCTTTGTTGGGATTCTACCCACGCTACTTCCTCTGCGCTAATCGGACGCCTTCCTCCGCCGCCCCATGGGGCCGGAGGCTCCTCCTAACATCATGAACATGGATGTTGATAACCAGGATGGCTGGTCCTTGGTCAGTACTAAAAAGAAATCTCTGAATAAAAAGAATGACAGTCATTCAGGAGAAGCTACTAAGAGGTGCGCGTCCCCAAACATCGAAGATAACGGTACCTCGAAGCGGAAACCGTCCACCATGACGGACATTACAGCGCCACCTCGTGCTCCTCTGAGGTACCCTGCGAGTATAAGGGTTCGGCCACTATTATCCTAACCCTCAAAAATGATCGATGTAAAAGAAGCAAGTCACAGAATATGATCGCTAAAGTTGTGAGTTCTCTAAAATCCGGTGCTCAGTTCATGCAGCCGCGTGGTTTCAACAGGGCTGAAGTAATGTTTAACAACAGTAAAGAAGCGAACCTATTCCTGGACTCTCCTGCTCTTCATGACGCTGGCATTTCGGCTTTTGCCCCCAAACAGAAGATCGAAAAAAAGGGCCTTCTCAAAGGCATTTGTCTCGATGTTAGTATGGAGGACCTTATGGAGCTCTCCCTTTCTCCATGCAAAATCACCTTTGCAAAATGTTTAAATAGAAAGATACGTGATCCTGACTCCAAGGAGATATCCTGGGTTCCGTCTGAAACCATCCTCCTAACCTTTGAAGGATCTGTAGTTCCCGAGAAGATTCAGGTATTCGGAATACTCAACAAAAATATTGAGCCTTACATCGAACGGGTGAGAACCTGTGTCAATTGTGGAGGCTATGGACACACCGCTTCTAGATGTAGAGGACCAACCATCTGTTTCAAATGTGGTGAACACAAAAAAGATGAACAGCACTCCTGTGACGCTCCTACTGGTTGTCTTCATTGCAAGGGCGATCACTCTACCTTCCACCCGGATTGCCAAACCATGATCTTCAACCAAGAAGTTAATCCAACCCTTGCCTTCTATGATGTCTCTATATATGAAGCACTTACACAAACCAGAAAGAAACTTGGTCTTGTAAAACAAAGACCTCCAAGACAGTCATCCGCTAACTCATCCAATCCCTCATCATTTCCTTCTCTTCCTCCATCTACATCTAAAAAAGAATACACTTTGAGAACCATCGGTGGCATTCAGAAGGAACGCCCTGCCAGTCAATGGAATAACAATATCCTAAAAACGTATTCAAAGAATAATGCCATTGTCGGCAGCTCTTCTTCAATCATTTCGCTACCATTGGAATCTCCTCAGAAGGAATCTTCTTCTGCTAAACTCGCATCGCATTCCTCCAAACCTTCAACATCCTCTCACACAAACCGGGAAACAACCCAACAAAATAGCAGCTTAAAATCCAAATCTCTTCCCACCAGCAAATTTCTCGTCAAGAACATCTCTTCCTCTTCAATCTCCAAAAACAAGTAAACATGGATACTGCACAAACAGCCAATTTTAACGTGCTGTTTTGGAATTGCCGGAACATTGTCAGCAAGAAGCCAGATTTAGAGCTTATTTCGTCCTTGTATGATGTTATAATTTGTGTTGAGACTTGGCTCAACCCCAACTTGTCATTTAGTCTTCCTGGTTTCTCTATAATCAGATGAGACAGATCTTGTCGAAGGGGCGGTGGTATCGCCATCTTCCTAAAGAAGAACCTCCTCTGGTCCCACATCAGCTCCATTTTCATCGATAATAACTTGACGGAATCACTCACCATCCGTATTAGTCTAAGCGACTTACATCTCACCATTTGTACACGCTACAGACCCCCGTCTTCGAATTTCGATCAGGACAAGTGGTATCAGCTCCTGCAACAACTTCAACAACAGGGACCATTTATTTTGGTCGGTGATTTTAACTATCACCAGCATGAAGCATGGAACTGCATAAATGATTCACGGGCAGGGGAACATTTTCTTCAAGTTCTTGAAGACACTGTTACGTCGCGAGCGAGATACGGCGCGCGACGTACAAAATAAAAAAAAAGAAAATTAATGATGGTTTACAATACGCGGTTGAGAACGGTATTAGCGCTGCCACCAGTCCTAATCGCTCGTGACGATGTTGAATCACTCACGATTAGAACAATAAAAGAGTTGTTAGATAAGTTAATAGATTAATTTAGAGATTAATCGGGTTCGTCAATGCTCTAGTCCCATACGGGCCCCTCGTATGAACTTGTGCTAGAAATTAGGCGTGTTAGTGAAGGAAAGGAAGTGTTTGAAACGTAAATGAATTAAAACTGGTTAGGTGTAACAAAAATATAATTTCGGAAAAATAATCGTGACAATAAAAGTGGTTGGTTAACAGGAAGTACGAGCTGTTTGAAATACAAGAGAAAATAGATATATTATAAAGAAAAGTATAAATTATATGAAAATGAAGCTATTGATTACTGGTTAATTAAAGTTTGATTAAATGATTCGATGATTTGAGCGACGATGTTCTGTGAACCTTTATACGCGAAAATGAAAAGAGAGAGAGAGGTCCCAGGGGGAAATTACCAGAACGACGGTTTCGTGGGGCCGTCTCCTCTGGATGCGAATCGGAATTTATTCAAGAATATTAATGTTCGATACCTTAAATCGTAACGTTGAACGGCACGATCTAGTGGGATATTTTCCAGAACGCCCGGTTCCGTAGATCGCCCGTTTTGCCTCACTAAATCCAGATTTGTCGTATTGGATAGAAATGAAATGGACAACTTACCAAGATCGATGTAAAATAGTATATGATAAGACTTTGAACTATTTGTCGCTTATTTATCTCTGGTGTCGTCTAGAATCTGGAAGTCAAAGAAGAGATGAGAAAACTGTCACTTGCACTGCGCGTTCGCGATCGGCCTTTTATTACGGTGTTACGGGACGATTAATTACGAGACGAATACAATCTAATTGCAAAACGACGCGACGCGGGAAAAGAAAAATAAATAATATACGAACAATATAAAAACGAAAGAGAAAAGATAGAAATTGAAAAGTGTGAAATGAATTTAACGTATCCGTATGAGTCCTTGTCACAAAACCGCGAACCGAAACACTCTCGACACTCTGCCTTGATAAGGACTTGCCGAGCAATCTAATTACGCGATTTTACTAACATCTCTATCTCTACGCGAACACGGGCTCCCCGTCACGCACCTTGCGATTTTTCGACGAAGAGTTATTTGCCTCAGTCAAGCGATCGTGTCTCAGGGTTCGACCCGCGATCAAGGGCCCAAAGTGGGGACATCATTTGGCAAATCAGGGTACGTGTCGGAGGGGAAATTCCGTGCGTATTGGGCTAGTTGGCCGCTCTTCCTAGTTTTCTCATCCCTTCCTGACCTTTCTTTCTGCCTTCGTCTACGGTTGTCCATTTCTTTCTACCCCTCTGACGCTACGCGGATTTCATGCGTCGCAATTCTAAAGTTTCTGGAATATTCGAAATCTATTACGACTTAATTTATTCGAATTTGCTAATCAAAGAGGCTTTTACAATGACGTTTCCAGTATCGAAAGAGGTCTTCGTTTTATTACAGATATTTGATTTACTGTTTTGAATGACTATTAATTGAATAATGTTAATTATTATTCATTCGTTAATTATTCTGTTAATCTCTTTTTAGCGGTTTGCGCAAGATGCAACCGGTGTTTTATAATCGTCGTCAAATTGCGGATACATGCGTGTTGCATTTAGTTAATATTCGTTCCGCGCTTATTAGTTATTAACGTTCTTATTCGTATTTCGACGATTTACGTATATTCGAAACGTTCTACGTTTAACGTTTAACGACGATGTTTATTGTCTCGATCGACCTTTGTCTCGAACATTCGTGAACAATTTCGAACTACGGCGGTTGTCACGCAAACCCTCGCATTCCAATATCATTCAAACAGTTTCATTCCGTAGCATACCAATCGCTTTGTTCTTAATTGCATTCATTCCTTGTGGAAGATTCGGCTGACGCATGCTTTGCAGGTATGAGAGGTACCTCGCTAATAGAATAGAAGAAAATTCTTCTTTATGTTGCACGGTTAAATTGGGAAAGTTTCCAAGTGAAGCGCACCCGATGAGGAACGCAAGGTCGGGTTGATGAAAAATGAACCCGGACGTAACAACACAAACTGTATGATTCACAACACCAATACCTCGACATATCTTGGACACTTCAACCAGCAAGGCAGCAATTTTGATCTTATCATCTCTCCCTGCAATTTTGCTCACAAAATACTTCTCAAATTAACGACCCCTGAGGTTCCGATCACTTCCCCTTACACATATCCGTGCAGACTACCCGTTTCATCTTCAAACAACGGCGTAACAGACTCACTACAAAACGAACTGACTGGCGCGCTTACTCTGACCATCTTGAATCTCTCTCTCCTGTTCTTCTCTCTAGGGAGTTTCTTGACCTACATCCTCTCGATCAGTACTCTGTCTTCGTTGAGATGATTCAACAATCTGCTGAATCTGCAACCCCTGCTTCAAAAGGACATTCCAACGGTCGTCTCAAAAATCCTGTTCCATGGTGCGATCAGGAGTGCAGCAAGGTGATTCGTCTTAGAAAGGCCTGCCTTTTCAAATGGCGACACACCGGTTCCTTTCAGGATTGGATTGCTTATAGTAAACAGTGGGCTTCCACTAGGAAAATTCTCAGAAAGAAGAAGAAGGAGAGTTTTCAAAAAATGGCCAGCGAACTGAACCGGCAGTCGGATTTAGGCCTCTTCTGGAAATGGATCAAGGTCTTTAAAGACAAGTGGACTAATTCTACTGCTCCCACTCAACAGTCCAGCCTCAAAGATTACCATAATCTGATCGACAAACTTTGCCCGTCTTGGGCCTCCCGTTGTGTCACATTCTCTACCTGTAATTCCAACTCTTATCTCGACACAGGCTTCACCCTCTTTGAGTTAAACTCCGCTTTGAATAAGGTTAACTGCAAATCGGCTCCAGGTCCAGACCGCATCGACTACCAACTTATTAAACTCCTTCCTCTTAAGTGGAAGCTGTCACTATTGGACATCTTTAATTCTATTTACGAGAACAACTTGTTCCCAGAGCAATGACATGATAATACCGTTTTCTTCATACCCAAGCCGAATCAAAAAGGTCTTCGCCCTATCACACTCTCTTCCAACCTATGCAAGTTACTTGAAAGATTAATCTCTCAGAGACTCTGTTCGTGGCTCGAGTCGATGGGCCTTCTGCCGGAACTTCAGTCCGGTTTCTGTAAAGGCAGATCCACCGCTGACAATATTCTTGCCTTCACAATCCTAGCGCACACCAACCTACTTAACCGGCGCACTATAGCCGCCGCTTTTATTGACATTGATTCAGCCTTTAATCGTGTCCTACCAGACCTATTGTTAGCTAAACTTGAGCTACTAGGGATTTCTGCCAACCCCCTTCACTTCATCGCCAATTTACTTTCGGGCAGAAGATTTCATTTCCACGTGCGGGATGATAGAGGATTCCCGCTTGAGATCACACGGCACACGAACATTGGTGTTCCGCAAGGCGGCGTCCTCAGTCCCCTGCTGTTCATTCTCTACATTGCAGACATCGACTGCAATCTTCCTAGCAACATTCGAGTATACAAATATGCCGACGATATTGTTATTTGTGCCACTGACGATGATCCGAGAGGTGCTACTGCATCCCTGGAAACTGCTACCAACATAATAAACAAAAACCTTGAGCAAATAGGCCTTAGCATCGCAGCCCATAAAACTAAACTCCTCATAATCAGTGGCAAGAGAAACTTTGCTGGCACATCTTCCATTAGGATTGGAGAATTCGTTATCTACAAATCCACCACGGTTAAATTCCTAGGCATTCATCTAGATCAGAGACTTAACTTTTCTCACCACATCAATGAGCTATGTGCTCACACTCGCAAGACCCTTAACGTTATTAAGTTTCTTCGAGGCACCTGGTGGTGTGCTCATCCTGACACTCTTCTGTCCATATACATATAGAGGTCTCATTCGCTCCAAAATAGAATATTGTCTTTACATTTTTTCTCCTCACCAGCATGGGGTCCTCCAAAAACTGGAGAGAATCCAGCTAGCTGCCACTAGACTCTCACTGGGTTTGAGGAATTCCACGCCTATCAACGTCACGCTCGCTGAAGCCAAACTTCCACCCCTTGCTCTACGTGCTGAGTATCTAGGTAAAAAGCATATTACAAAGATACTGACAAACTCTGCTCACTTTCTCAATAGTCAACTTGCTGCATATCTATCCAGTATTGACAATCTCAGACCACAGATCCGCCGCCCTGCTAACCTCATTACTCGTATCATTCAACAAATTTGGTCTTTGAAACCCCTTCTCATCAACCCTAAGGAGTGTTTGTTTGGATCTTGTCAAGATCAGTCTGCACTCCCAGTTCTATGTGACACCACTACAGGGCTCAGTTTGAAGAATTCAGATGACATTAATTCAAAATTTCAAGAGATCCTTTCTACTAGTTATAGAGGATCTACCCCAATATTTACTGATTGTTCTAAAACACCAACAGAGATTTCCACTGGGGCTGCTTGGTTCTGCCCAGAGCTTGGGCAGGCAGAAGCTATGAGCATTCATTCTCATGCCTCGGTTTTTACTGCCGAATGCTTAGCTATTTCCAGAGCTCTTGACTTGGCAAAGAACCACCCAGATATGGCTTTTACTATCTTCACTGATTCGTTGAGCTGCATCCTTGCCATTCAAAATCCGACCAACTGCTTGTCCCACTATTGCGCAAGAGAGATTCTCAACAAAATCAACAATTTTGGCGGGGTCTCTCTTCCTCATAAACCTAGACTTGTCTGGGTACCTGCTCATCAGGGCTTAACTGGCAATGAAGAGGCTGACAAACTGGCTAAATGCGCTAGTAATGCAGCTCACCATCCCTATTGGAAGCTACCTCCTCAAGACTTGCATATAGTTTATGCATCTCAAATGTGGGAAGCAGCAGATGCTATCTGGTATAACAAGGCCCAACCAAGCAATCCTAAACCGACTGGCATAAAATACTTCAAGACGTTCTTTCAAAGTAAGAGAAAGCCTTGGTTTACTGGGAAAAATTTACCGAGGGTAATCACCTCGTGAATCTGTCGAGCTCGTTCGGACCACTACAGTCTGGGGGAGTCCCTCTTCAAGATCAAGCAAGTAAGCAGCCTTCTATGTCGCTGCGGTATCATGGAAGATAACCTTAATCACGTACTCTGGCAGTGCCCTCTACTGGATCATCACCGACCTGATCTCATCAATGGTCTTCGGCGTTAGGGCTGGCAACCTCCCTGGTGCATAGAGACCTTTCTCGCTGGTCCACACCTCAAGGAACTATATATTATATCGCGTTTTTTACAAAAGAATAATATTTCTATTTAATTATATTTGTGTATTTTAAGTTTGTTCATCTCTTTTCTACTGACTTTTTATAAATTTACTGTAAAAATATGTAATACTTATTGCTGTACCGGATCTATGAGCTCGTATGGAGCTTACGATCCTTTTCTCAATAAATACGATACAATACAATAAAAACATAACCTCAATGAAGCCAAATAAGAACTCGTTTTCTACAAATAAGGCGGACTTATTCGACTATGAATTTATAAGAGCTTAAGACTTTCTTAAGCATCGACTGTGAATCTACAGCGATAAGCATTTACTGCATTTAGTTTCCTAAGCAAATGTTTAAGCTGATGCCGGAATTTACCGGAGCGGAACAATTCTATCATTTAGGTTCAAAGAAGGATAGCATGATCATCATACATCTCACTCTAACCACGCGCCAATGTTTCGCTTTCGTTCTTTAGGGTACGTTTATGTTGGAGCGTCGATAAACGATAAGAGCGTCCATCATAGCAATGTGAAGTTGTCTTATTATCAGAGCTCTACTATAAACAAACCAGAGATATATTTTCGCAGCTATGATCGACGCTCCAACATAAACGTACCCTTAGGCGGATCGTCGTGATGCCTCTGACGAGATGAGCGTTTGAATGTGTTTGTAAAAATACTTGAGGCGCTAATGCCTTCCTAGATCGTGTTGCGCACGCGCTAGCTGAGAATTAAACCTTTCAAGTTCATAACAGACCACGCAAGTGGCTTCACCAGGCCCAACGAAAAAACTACTGTAATACCGACGTCCCGAATCGGAAAGGTCACGTGCCCGGAGAGGTCAGTTGCGACTCTGAATACCGACGGTCTCTCGCGCGATACTTATTCTGACGATATTGCGGGAAGTTGCTTGCTAGTGTAAACGGTGTTGCAAGTTCTTCTGCAAGACTTCCTCGAGTTTTCTCGCATGTGGAAACACGGCCTTAGAAACTATAGTATTTTTCACGAGAGAATAGTACTATCGGATGAACGAATTTTGATTTTGTTTGCGCATGTTGGCTCTAATTGGTTCTGCCACGCTCCACTTCCAAGGTAACACGCAAGCACCGCACGGCCGTATATCATAAACCAGGCCTGTCTAACCTGCGGGCTGCGGCCCGCGGACCACTCATTGCTCCTTCCCCTTCGTACGCGGCTCTCGCTCGACTCCCCCCACTCTTCCAGTTGGTTTCCCGACTCTTCCAATATTTGACGCGTATAGCTGCTAGAAACCGCTACCCCACTACTGACACTACTGAATGGCGGAGGAAGTCTGAAGCGGTAAGAGTGGGAGCAGTGGCTCCAAGTGGCTCTTTCGCTTCCTGCAGTTAAACAGGCTTGTCGTAAGTCACGCTGGGCAGAAAGTATATCCGGTGATCATAAACTTGTGAATTATGATTCACTACCTCTGTCCTATAATAATGAGCCGTTCCTGTATTAGTGTATTTTGTCCACCGTGTATATGGCGGATGCAATGGGAACTTTCGGAGCTCAGTCGAGCTACGCGAAATGTATTCTCTCGTGAAAAATACTATACTTTTCATAATACACAAATAGAAATGGCTAAGGGGAAGGTTAAAATACATATTCACACGGTTCTTACAACTTTATTTCATTCTAACAATCGTTTCTTACAAAAATTTATTCGTCAGATAGTCTTTCATTCTCTTTTTATCCCGTCAACAATTCTTACTTGTCTAATGTACAGATATCACGGATTAATCTCAAGGGTTTCATTAAACTTAAAAAACAATTTTAAAGGAATATTATCGGTGATGGAATATCCTCGACAGGACATGGCCCATCAGGAGCATATCAGCTAAAATATACTTCTAAATAATCTTAAGGAATCCATTCGACTTCATTCGTCTCGTAATCCTTATTAATATTAGATCTAGTATTATCTGCTGGCTTAGTGGTACTCTTTTCCTCGCTTCCGGCTATCTTATGGTAGACCTTGCTTCCGGTACTGGCGACCCATTGAACACCATCGCCCAATTTTTCTCCAGCCTTACGGACCACGTTACCAAAGTTCTCAGCAGAGAATGTATGTGGGTCAATGTTAATGTCCAAGGTGTTATTGCCTTGTGGGCAACCGGTTTGGGAGATGATGCTTAAATCATAAGGATCTACACCAAAATAGCTCAGTCTTTCGCGTATCTTATCCACGTAGCTCTTGTCCAAATCTCGTCGTCTGGAAAGGATGGTTGCACTCTGACGATGGGCAAATGCCAGCTTCTGACAGGTGAAGATACCTGCATAGTTGTCGTAGTCTGTAGTGAACACTACGTGAGACGCAGTTCCTGCTACGCCTTTGAATAAAGTAACAATTAATAATTATCCCTATAATTTTCTGTCCAACCAATTGATGCATGTACATAGCTATACTTACTAAGGGGAAAACGAACTTGCATACGAGCCTGTGTGCTCGGCTCCGGAACGGTCAATTCTCCGGTATAATGGTACTCATGCTTCAATGGCGTTAGACCTGCGCATAGAGACGTCATTCATTATGGATAATTCATTCCACTTGCCAGACAGTTATCATATTGACATGCTTTTATGAGTCCTGTTGGGATCTTTTTTATTTATTCAAAAACTACTGACAATATACAGATTATCCCAAGAGTTCGTTTGTATTTCTAATGTTATGTTGGATTAATTTGAAATTTCATATTTTACCCAATACTGGATGATCAGATTCCTGCGTTATAATATATTCACCCGGTTCTTCACCACGGGTGTAATTGTAAATAATGCACTTGCTGGCAGTCGACGTTTTCTGTATCACGTACCATACTCCTAAAAACTGCAAATTTTCGTCATAAAATTTCATTAGAATTAATTGAAGTTATTACCCATAAAGAATAGATAAATTTATTTATACATACGTTGCTCATTTGAAATCCTTGCATTGGTTCTACAACTGGACAGGCGCCCATGTGATAGGTGTGTGCTTTTGCAAAAACAAAACATCCTGCTAGGAACACCAGACAATTTAGTGTCTTCATCTGAAATAAAAATACCAACTTATATTTTAACTGCAGGAAAATATAAAATTTCAAAATTCTTAGCTCATTAATTCTAAATTAATTTATTCTATTTTTAATCTTCATTGGTATTCTGTTTATAATCTATTTATAATTGTTACGTTACGACGTCGTCGCGTGTGTGTATAGGACGGCGGCGTAACGTAAAAAGAAAAGAAAGAAAACTCTCTTGTTAGTTATGCGCGGTAGAATAGGTTTTCGCTGCCACCAGTTTCAAGTAAGTACTACGTACGTCGCGACGGGTCAAAACGCTTTCGCGCCCCCGTCCTCTTAGAACAAATTTAAAATTGAAACAATAAAAAGAAAAAGGTGAATGATTTTATTGCTGGGTTCGGTAGTAGAGATGACGTGCAAAAGCACTAACGGTGATTTATCACAGTGATTGTAGAATCACGATCACGATCGTGAATGAAGTTAAATCACTATCGTGATCGTGATTTTCTTATCTTGGATGATTGCTCTTCGTAATTCTTGGTCTTTATTCAACTATTTTTTTATAAATTGCTTCAGTATAGCTTGTATAGAAATATCTGAGCACAATGCGCAAAGAAACGTTAGTCATAAGTTTTGGCTAGTCAAAGGTTACCAGTTAATTACGGTTTTTACTTTCGACCAATCAGAAGAGAGCATGAAAAATCACGAATCATTGTGAAAAATGATCGTGATTAGGAACGAACATAATCGAATCACAAGTTGACCCCTGTGGCTCGGGGGGATTAGAATACGGCCACGGTATCCCCTGCCTGTCGTAAGAGGCGACTAAAAGGGGACACACACACACACGCGCGCGCGCATACACAGACTCGAGCGAAAAATTGTAAAAGTATGGCAAAAAAAACAGAAGCAAAAGTATGACAAATGTATGAAACAATGTAAAATGCAAAAGAGAATGAGATTTGAAAAAAGGCGCGCAAAGCGCGCGTGGCCTAAAATGTTCGTTGGGCAAAAGGGGACAGTAAAAGTCCCCAAAGTACGCCGCCCGAAGGAAACGGGATGTAAAAATGCATCCTTTTTTTCCGAACCGGGGAAAATTAAAGTAAAGTGATTCACAAGTAGCAGTTCTAGCCATCACTACATACGGGCCCCTCGTTGAAGCTGTACAATATCAATCATAGTGTCCATTCGCCTAGTGAAAAAGCACTGGCTTTGGAGTACAAGTTTAACCGCAGCAAATATCATAAATCTAATTATTTAATAAAAGCGTTAAAATAATTAACATAATCATCTGATAAAACCTTTAGAATATTCAATAATTTATTTGAAATTACAAAATACACTAGACGAACGGACAGTATGATTGATATTGTACATACAGAGTTGGTAAGCGTGATTTGTGGAATATGAAGATGTTTAATATTGAAATAGAACTGTGTGTATAATTCAAAAATAATAGAGTTTAACAAGATAAGGTAACTGAATAGACCAATAACAGAATGTAACAGAATAATGTGTAACAAAAGTTAACGGTTCAACAAATGACGATGAGGCGCTTTGACGAGACTAAAATATAGTATATATATTTGTATATAAATTATAAAATGTGAAAACACTATTATTGAAGAATGGAAACCATTCTTCGAGGGAACGGTTTGAATGGGATTCTACCGAAACCCGAAGGCTTTACAAACCGTTCCTCGATGAAGGATCGTTGATTAAGATAATAATGAAAATCGAAAATACCTTTAGAGTCGCGGGAACGATCTAAATGGGAAGCTTCCGAAACCAAAGGTTTTATAGATCGCCCGTTTTGCCTTTCCAAATTCAGTTTCGCCGTGTATATTAGAATAAAATAGACAACTTACCAAAGAGATGTAATACATATAATACAAGATAACAATATTTACTAAGTTCGTTTTCCTGCTGTAGGTTGTCTGTAATCTGGAAACCAAGGAGAGTTGAATATTACGCCTCACACTTGTCGCGCACAGGGTTGTCCGCTCTACTATATGTATTAATTAAAACGAAATATCGAAACAATACGAACTTATCCGCGACGCGAGTTAAAAGTATTATATATTATACGCGAATGGAAAACGAATTATTACGCGAGCAAACGATTTAAAATGGAAAGAGTAAAGATAGAAATTTAATAGTATGAAGATTTAACGTTGCCACGAAACCGGAATGAACACCTTCACAACACTCTGCCTTCGCGATGCAAAGGAGTTGCCAAGCAGTTAATTACACGAATTTCAAACGACAACCCTATCTCTACGACGCACGGACCTACGTCACGCATCTCGTGATTGATTGACAAGATTAACGAATTTCGATTGCGATCGTAGCCTTAAGCCTTAAGGCGGGATTTCCTATGTGCGTCGATCACATGCGTCTGCGTTCGGCGGACGTGCTTGTTCGATTTTTTCTACTGATTTGCGGCTATATTCTTTTAAGACGCATCGGTGTCCTGCGTGTGGACATCATTAGCGTATTGTGGTGCGAGACGATGAGCATGGCCCACCCTGTGATTGGTCGAAAGTGTGGTGCTAGAGGAATTCCTCACTCTCTGGTTCCTTATTCTTGTTCTCTCTCGTTGGTGTTGTCTATTCTTTCTAACGGTATAACGATATTCTACGCAGTTGAAAATTCTAGAAATACTATAGAATTTTACATAATTCACGAAAAATCATAGTTACGGACAATCCATGAACGTCACCAGCCCGTTATTCGCTCCGAATCAACAGTTATTCGCTCGATTTTAACGAAAGGATTGCGTAATTGCAGAAATTCTGAACTTATGCTACGTTATACCGTCGATAGAAACTCGATATCTCTATTCATTTTGTAAATAAAAAATGTTGAATTTTTAGGAATACAAAATTTAATATTCGTATCACTTACGAACGGCGACAGATAATCGAACTCTGCAAGTTGTGCTGTTAATAGTTGATATTAGCTTGAGTGTCAATAAAAATTAACAAAAAAGGATGGGGGTGATTCAAAAATTTGATATTTCCGAATTTTCTTTGATTGTGCCGGATTGTGCTACACTAGCACAACAACTTTTCCTAATGACAAAATTTCGTCGGACCGCCAAATTTCGCAGCACTGGCAAAGTTAGGAATCAAACGTTAGGAATATGCATGCATTTAAAAGCTGGATATATGCAAGAGAAATTGGGACCCAAACATTGTATACATATAGAGTGGCCGCCGAGGTATCCAAGATACTTCGTATATGAATTCTATGACTAATTTTAAGCAAAAATAATTCTATTCACTTTTCTCGAATTCCTAACGCTTCTTGAAATATCGGGGTTTGAAGTTGCCAGGTCGTATGGGTAGTTGCTAAAGAGTAAATTACATTGTTGCGACTAGAGGGCTTAGAAAAAAATGTGGTTTATTTTAATAAAAGCGTAATGAAAGTGTTTGATGAGGTGAAAAACAATATGAAGAACTACAACTGGGAACGAGAGCTTCGACGAAGGATTGAGTTATGCATTGCACAAGGCGGTGGTCACATTGAGTAGCTTTAATAATTACACTGTCGTTACGCTTTTATTAAAATAAACCACATTTTTTTCTAAGCCCTCTAGTCGCAACAATGTAATTTACTCTTTAGCAACTACCCATACGACCTGGCAACTTCAAATTTTTGAATCACCCCCACCCTTTTTTGTTAATTTTTATTGACACTCAAGCTAATATCAACTATTAACAGCACAACTTGCAGAATTCGATTATCTGTCGCCGTTCATAAGTTATACGAATATTAAATTCCTAAAAATTCAACATTTTTTATTTACAAAATGAATAGAGATATCGAGTTTCTATCGACGGCACAATATAGCACAAGTTATCACAAATCATCTAACAAAAAAAAGTTTGTTACGACAAAAGTGCGGGGCTAACTTCACACACGTTAGTCTTTGAACGTTTACTAACGTTCGGTCGTTTCTTACAGTGGTTCTCATAAATCCTTTTCATACCGTTATCATTCACGCTCATTCGTACCATTTACATTGTTATTTTGCATGCATAAGTGGCGTTTAGGACCGACTGGCGCTTACATTGCAAAGGGGGTGGATATCTGAATAAAATATAATCATGTTTTCTTTATTTTTACGCAGTTAGCATGGGAAAAGTTTCGAATGCAAAGCACTGACTAACTACGTTTATGATATCTCTCCCCTGAACGAACTCCAGTTTTGTATTCCATTATATGCAGTTGAGCGCGGCGATAGTTTCAAAGAAGGTTACCAATGTTATTTAAAAGAAAGTAAATACAGCCTCCTTTGTGTACCTCGCATGGGAGAGTTCCGAGACCAAAGGTCTGACGGGGTAACACAAAGTCGGTAAATAAATGTTGAAATATTTTAATGAAACGGTTTATAAGATGTAATTAAAACAAAGAAATTATGAATTTGTAATGAAAGGTCCCCCTTACGCCCCACACATGGGAACAGCTCCGCGACCAGAGGTCTGGTAAGGAAATGCAAGGTGGATAATATTTTTGAAATTTCCGCCAGGACGTGACATAATCTATTGTAATCTCATTGTTTATTAAAATTTATAATCTTCTTGTTTATTGATTCTACAGAAAGATACTAGTTTGCAAAGTTTTTGACTCATCAGTTGTTCCTTGAGAGTAAACAAATTCATAAAATGCTGTTGTGTAAGCAATTTAGTCAATTGTATGAATCATTCTTGTTATACTTTGATACAAAGCATCTTTGTGGTGCATTCAGGTAACGTTTAAATTCGTTGCGGCTCCAGAAAGAAAGGGGACATTTTAATGTAAGATTAAGCTCAACCTTGGTAACCTTACTGTAGACAGATTTATCTATATATAGAAAAACTCGGATCCTCCGTATTTACCGTGAATAACGAGAAAACGGTGTACTTTGTGTCTCTGAGCCGCTAATTAACACAGGGAAAGACGGAAGAGCCACTCAAGCTCGAATGTACAAGCAAGTTACATTTATGCAACGAAATAATGAGCCAAGTGCTCGAGTTTCTTTAGTGGATATCTTTTGCATCCAAAACCAAAAAATTTCTTTCATAAATTACTAAGACAGAATTTTAAAAAAATCTACAAAAAATCTTTCTACAATTATTAATTATTTATTATGTTCTATAGAAATATGAATAATAATATTGATAGGATCTTCTTTGAGAAACTAATGGATGAAAGTGAAATCATTTTGAAGTAACATGGAAACACGTAGTCCAATTAATTCAGGGTCATTTTGACCCAATTATAAAAATAACAATCAACCATCCTCTAAGAATTAAATATGTATTAACTACTGACCAATGAATTAGTATTTGAAATTTAAATGCAAAAAGTTTAAAATGTCACTCATACTCACTGTGAAGTGATGTTGTCAATCTCTGAGCTGGTACTGTATACAGTAGATTGAATGGGGAAGAGTTTTATGAGATATGTCCCCACTCTGGATCCAATTGTAGGTCACAGACGTTTTGATCACCACATAGTAGTGATCAATCATGCTATTTTCAGAGAATTAAAAGAAACAAGTCAATTCCTTTCCATATTTTATGTTAAAATTGCTTTTCTGAATTACATATCAATTAGAATATTGATTTTCTTCTTATAGCAGGAGTTGCATTAGTAATAATTAATTTAGAATAGCTTTCTGGTTTTATCCTCCAGCTATAATTGCACTTTGCTTTTGTAGAAAAATAGAAGAATAATAAAAAAATATGATTTTTCATGAATATTGTTTATTAAAATATAAAACGTGTGATATTTTACAATATTAAATTTGTTAATTGTCCTAATAATACCTTGTTATCTGATAATACCATGATGTAATTCTCTAGACTTTGTACAATTTTTTTCTTCTGCAACAACTGATTTATTTATGCTCATTTAAAGAACATTTTAAGATGCGGGTACCACACGATTTCGTTACACCGCTGCTTATGATGAGTCATCTACGTCCATAAGTGAATCAAGTTGACGTTCTGAGAATCGCTACAGTACCACGTACAGTTTTATTCTATATTTTTTGTTCTTCGTAGCGACGTAACTTAATTTATACGTTACAAGATAAAAGATAACGTCATACATACTGCGGAAAAATAACAGTACAAATTTGTAATGTCTAATGTTATTAAATAAATCCTAGTGAAAGTATTTTGACGGAGTCGACACCGAGGGATGTTTTCAAATGAAATATCGTCGTTTATTTGATATAATAAAAGTACAAAAGATATATTTTAATAAGCGTGTAAATTGTTCAGTGATATGTACAAATGGCAGTAACGGTATATCCTTAGCTGAATTTATATTAATACCAAATATTCTACCTCTGTTTGAAAAACGCAGCGCTAACGAGATACTACAAGTAATAAAAAAATAATTTTCCTATTTGATATGTAGTAAGATGTCTAAAGGCACTTATGATCCCACGTTTTGATTTCCATTCATAAATGATAAACTATAAAAAGTAAGTTAAAGTAAAAATCCTAAGGAGTATAGTGTATTGTCATACTGCCTTATTCATAATTTTGCCCTTTTTTTATGTAGCAAATATAAACCACTGAAGTATCCAATTACTACAGTATATTTCTTGCTCAAATATCCTGTGATAACTTATATAACACAGTTCAATGATCAAAATTTATTATATGTACTGTCGAAATATAATATCATTGCAATGTGAAGTGTAACCTCCTATGAATTTCCCATACAAAATGAGCAATGTCATAAAAAAGAAACGTGAATGAGCTCTTACGCATGAATAAATTAGCTTTTTTGATACACCCTGAGACATACTCTCTATATAGTCACACAATTAAAACGTCACAAATTTCTGAGTAACGTACATTTACCGTTTCTCTTACTTTTTCCCACGTTATGCCGCTGGCAATTTGGATACATCTAAATCATCAAAATAAGGATGTTTCAAAGCAGCTCGCGCTGATATTCTGTGTACTGGATCATAGATAAGCATTGCTTGCAAAAGATCAAGCCCATCTGTGTCTAACGTTTTAACTTGCGATTCCAAATTGTTTGTTATCCAATTTGGAAACGTGGCCTTGTAATCGGATAATTGTGACACACCAGGCCATATTTCTTCAGTGGGTGTCCTTAGTATCCTACAACATACACCTATTACTATTTTATATTCTATTAAGTTGCAAGATAATACATTATACGTATTTCATACCGAAATATTCTAAATAATTGATCAATTTCACTATCTCCTTGGAATAACGGTTTTTTTGTTGCCATTTCTGCAAATATACAACCAACACTCCACATATCAATGGCGCATGAGTATCTACTGGCACCAAGAAGAATTTCTGGAGCTCTATACCATAAAGTGACTACTTCATGTGTATATACCCTGACCGGTATACCAAAGGCTCTCCCAAGACCAAAATCAGCTACTTTAATAACCCCCGATTTATCGATCAATAAATTTTGTGGCTTCAAATCACGATGTAGAATTCTTCGTTTATGGCAAAAAAGGATAGCACTTGTGATCTAAAATAAAATCAAATTTAATTATTGTAGACCTCTGTAACATTTATTAACAATGGAATAAAATATTTGTAGACTTTCAATTATATTATATAAAGCAAACATTTTATAGTATCATGTATATTTCCAAACCTGATATAGATAAGATTTAACCATATTTGGTTCCATTAATGTTCCATTACCCAAACTATCCATATATTTCTTTAAATCCATAGTAAGATACTCAAAAATAAGATACAATCTAGTTTCTTCCATCAACACATCTATCAGTCTAACAATATTAGGGTGTGGTAGTTCTTTGAGCAATGAAATTTCACGAATTGCTGTTGACGGCATGCCCTCCTCGTCACTTTCTAAACGAATCTTCTTCATAGCTACAATTTCTCCTGTTTTCTTGTGCTTTCCTTTGTAAACCACGCCATAAGTACCTGTGAAAATCTTCAACTATAATACTATTTTCTTATATTTTCAATTACACAAACTAATAACCATCATAATATCTTGCAATATAAAGACCACTTCCATATATATTTATAGACAATTACTTTGCATTCTGAGCTGAATTATTTAACAACTATGACTTTCAAAGTACTCATTTTTAAATAACCTCCATTGAAAAATACAAATTTAAGTCACGATTACTATAAGTCAAGGATCAATCGATCATATTATAACTAAAATTGAATCAAAAGTTTCTACAACTATCGAAGTATCAGAAATTAGAAGCAAACAGACGTTAATTAGATCTGACAAAGTATTATCCAACATCATTCACCTTCACCGATCTTCTCAATCTTCACGAAATTCTCCATAGTAACTATACGTCGCAAAAACCAAGGCTAGTCAATATTCTCTATTAAACGGTAGTGCTTAATTTAGCACTTGAATGATAAGATTTCAGGTACGTTTTCTCAAACTTTTCTAGTGTGCTAACACGTAACGATCAAATTCAAACATAGGTGCGCCATATTGATAAACACGTTTGAAAGTTCAGTGTTCGGATTGCTTCGTAACAAGTCGGCCTTGTTTTGACCAATCCGAATGACCGATACATTCATTGTGTGCCTCCGAAATACAGTGAAAACTCGATAAATGGAACTACTGCCGGTCCTTTCCGCAACAGTTATGGAATAGGAGAATCGTTTTTCGAATTTGATTGTATGTAATTTGTCGACGCCGTCGAACGTAGAAAGAGTCAGTAGCTAAAGTCGAAAGAGGGATTGAAACCCGGATTTATTGCCATAAAAATTTCACTATCTCGCGTTTTTTCAGACGTAAAAATCATATTTCTATTGTAGGTAGAAAAAAAGTTATTATAGTCTGAAAATTATTTGGTAAAATTAAATTTTGAACATTTATGAAGGCAATTAACCCTTTTGTTTCCAATATGAGATATACATGCCCTATCTTTTATTTACTTTTGCAAAATAATATTCTTAAATACTAAAAGTTAAAATAAAAGAGATTACTTAATGTTTAATATCCATTAAAGATGCAATGGACACAAATTCTTAATAAAAATTAATTCAATCATGAAATAATCAAAAATATTTCAGAAGTGATTTGAGAACATTTATTTAAGAAAAAAGAATATCATTCGTGACGGTGTATCTTCTATGTATTTTTACATACAACGTATAGATACAAAGAAATTATTATGTAAATTATACTTTGTAAAGCACGTTCTTAGCATAAAATGATTTTTCATCTTCACATCTCCCACAAACAGAAACTGGATCAGAGATAATCATCGTCAAGTCGAAAGCAGAGAGCCCCTTCCAGAGTCCTTATAAATTTATTTTTACTGTTTACAATATAATTACATAACTTTAACAAAATTTTTCGGATCTCCTCGATTCGTAAGCTTAGCAAGTACCCTCTAGTTACTATTGATAACGACTTTGAAATAAAAACTCTGTTTCCCAATCGACCTGACAAGATTGCAAAAACAATGGACAAAAATCGTGTTATGCCTGTGCTGGCGATTATTTAATCATAAATCCATCTTTATTGTATTTTATCGTGGAAATTGATAGCCACCAGTGGCATAACCGAGTCCAACTCCACGCTGCGTGTGGGTAGTGGCACGTGCTACTTCATACTGTTGTTCCATGTTATTAAACATTTCCTCTTGTTTCTTTAATATGTCTGGTTTCGCACCTGCCGTAGGAGTGGTTGGCAAATCATCTTTAATACCCATTAATCTCTTAAATTTCGCTGTTACTTTTCCATCTTGGTCATGAGTGAACGTCGTTCCCACCCATGTGTTCGCAGTCGAAGCTGTTGTGGATGTTTTACCCTCGTCTTGCTTCGACTATGAACATGAATTTCACAATAAATATAATTCATACAAACCTACAGTACAGTAGGATAACATTAATAAGAAAGTTCTTACCTTATTTGCCCATAGAAGCTTTCTCTTTTGTATCTGTTCTGCGTATTTTCCTTGCGTTGCCGTGGCCAAAGGATTATAATAATTCTGTTCATTCTGAATATTCGGTGTCGCGGTATCTCCTTCCGGTGCTTTTAATTCGATTCCTAATTTTTCCAATTGGGCTAATTTATTTCTACCTTTTTCTTCTCTGTAACTCATCGTTCTGAACGGAGGAGGCGCCCGATCTCTTGATCGGGATCTCGAACGCGTGCGGTCTTTTTCTTTGTGATAGCTAGATCTATCGTCGCGGTATCTATCTTTTGATCTATCATCCCTAGAATGTCTACGGTCTCGATCCCGGTCTCTGTCTCTACGCCTGTCTCGGTCGCCTCTGTCGCGATTACGATCCCTTCGATCATCACGGTAATGATGGTCTTTATCATTCTTTTCTTTCTCCTCGTTTTTCTCATCCCTGCTTGATCCCAAGGAACTCTTCTCTTTTTTCTTATCATCATCGCGAGATTTTCTCTCATCGTCTCGACTTCTTTTTATATCTCTGTCCCTGTGACCACTCTCGCGTTGCCTTCTATCATCGTACGATGATCTTCTTCCCTTGTCGCTCATGTGACGATTACGGTCAGATCTATCACCTCGTTTGTGTTCGTCTTTCGAGTTTGCTGTATGATTTTCATGATCAGATCGCCTGTAAAACGATTACGTTCTGCAGGATATACCACACAGATTCGTATTATTATTCTGCATGTAAGGGATATATTTATGGTAATTATTGTAACAAGTCTCTCTTAATAAAAAGAATATTCTGAACGAACGATCATTTTGTTTAAGATTCAGAGGAGAATAAGCTTATAAACAAACCAGCTTACCTCTGGTCTGAGGGGGAAGGTAATGCATGGGATGAGTCTGATTTTGATTGTGTCGTTGGACTATTCGCTCTTTCACTACTGGATTCCCTGGACGAATTGTTGTTGTTGCTTTCCTAAAGAAATAAAAACAAGGCACGTTATTTATGCACTTTACACACGTTTTATGAAGTGAAACATAAATTTCAATTATAATTGTAGGAATTATGAATTATAAATATTTTTTTAGTACCCTCAATTTAGCAAAAATCAATTTTTCACCCACTGTAATTTTGCACCTTTTCAAATTAAATTTATAATTATATAATTTTCATAACAGAAGAAATAAGATCACAAAATTTCAGTGCACGTAGAAATTGAATTTTGCAATATTTGTAGTTATCAGATAAAAATGGCTAAATCCTAATATCTGATACTTAAAAAAAACACTCTTAATGCTAATAATGTTCTTTTTTTCTTTTTACAAAAATAAAGGTTGGTTTTCTCGCATCCTTGGTTGTACTTGATACAAAAGGTTTTGTAATGCAGAAACTTGGATTTCACTGCAAATTTCATTTTAGATATTTTTTTTCCATTTAATTAAAAGTAGGAATATGCGGGCCCTTCATATTTATCTGCTTTAGCAGTTAGTTATATTACCGGAATATGTTTGTACATGTGGTTTCTTTGATGGTTGATTTTTTGTTAGTGTTACCTTCTTCCAGCTTCCTCTACTCACCTCTGTCTTCTTAATAGGACTTGGGGTAGTCTTGAAAGACCCTCACACAGCATAGACCTTGCCGAGGTGCGTAGATATTGTATCATGTATTACCAACAGAGCTACGTGTTAATATTTTCTCACGAAATGGCACTATTCCCATTTACATATTACTTAAAATTTAAATATTTCAATTTCTACCCCTCATTGCTTCTGCCACGCGATAATTTAGGCTTTAAGGTCATGTCATGTATTTTTTAAAATATTAAATTATAAAAATAATAAAAGGCAAAAGTGTATTGCTTCGTAGCGATACATATAATGTAAACCATACAATGATTACGATGCCCTGTAACAAAATCCATATAATAAAAATTATATTATCATTGTATCGTATACATTATTTACAGCTATATTAATGTCATTATAAACGCAAGAAATAAGTAAAATTGTTTTAGCACATGGAAAATCACTATGAAGCAATTCTTTATCTACAAAATACTAAACGTACCAGCTTTAATTGTTTTTGAATAATGAATATGAGAATTATGCAATAAATGTGCTATGGTGAAACTGTATTTTATGTATGCAATATCGACATGACCTCTAAAAACCAAGTACTAAACCTTCTTTTATATATCATATATGTGACCCTACATGTACATACAGCCCCCATAACGTCATCACATCTTCCTAGTAATTGTTGCAACGTTTCATACTTAAAACTATAAACAAGCAATTGCAAACATTCAATTTCACTGTACCTCACTCATGTCCATTTGTACTGGGTCATAATTAGCATCACTGGCCCTTTTATCGGTATCACTGTGCATCTCATATGGTACCTTTGAAATACAATAAGACGATAAAACATTAAATTAATTTCTCATATGTTACATTACTATTATTAATCTTAAATGTTTAGATTGCTTGTGACTTAAAATATTTCCTAAAACATTAAATACATTGATTGTTAAGTTTAAACCTTGAATGAACCAATTACAGATGAAGTGTAATTGGTCACATTCAATTCTTCTGTTACTTAAAACTAAATTTATAGATTTATATAAGTCTCATAATCTAGAGATGGTTAACATATTAATGAATTCATTTACAATCGTAAAATCATCGAATGACGAGGAATCTATCCTATAAGAAGCCATGTCGAATGTGTACATTAAAACATTTCTCGGGCGTCATGGTTGCCGAAATGAAAATGCGCCATCAGCAGAACGGTCATCAATATCTCATCGGTAATCATCAGTACATATCGTACCTACCTTAGGATCTTCCGAATTATTGCTATTATCCCCGTCACTAGCGTAATTCGCTAACGAATCCATAATGGCGTGAAAACGAGGAACGAACTGTCTGAAATTGTTACGACTATCGTGGCGCGTCGATCTTAGGTTGCCTTGCGCAGAAACGCCATTAGTTGAGAATGTATAACCAACTATTGTAGCGCTTCCATCGAATATGGTTAGCAAAGCGGAAGTGGCAGAAAAAGGAACACAGGAAATGCAATATAAGCGGCAAACTTTGGCGCGAATTTATATATGTTAATTACATACTAACACAGAATTGTCCTACTTTTAATTACTATACAATTAAAAGTATTTCAATATTCTTACATTACATAAAAGTTTTATATAAATTATTATCTAATATAATCAATTAAACGCTCTTTGATTAACAAATTTAAAATATTAATAATTCAACATTAAATTATAATACAAAATCATGTATGTACAGAATATACCCAGCACAAAGGTACTTTTATGTAGCTGAAGCAATAGCAAAACGTTACTCAGGGAATCGTCTCTATTTACAAACGAATCCCGCCCAGGGTGGCGTAGTCGGGGGAGGGGGGTACCAAAGGTGCAGGAAGGTGTTGCAAAGGTAGGTTGATGCCACAGAGCACTCGCATTGACGTTTACGCGCGGAGAAGCGCGAGCCGGCGTGCAGGGGAATCGTGAACAAACCGGGACCGGGACGCAACAGTCGCTCAGCAGAGTTCGTGCTGGAAGTATCGTGGGAGGTATGGTTTCGCGCCTTTGTGACATTTCATGACTTGAACCCGGGATACCTGTTTACGAGCGACAGCCGAGAAGAATAGTGTCGAATCCAGTTATCTGGGGTAAGCGTTCCCATTCGGATTCTTTTTTCATTTATAATCATAAATCTCGCTAGCCTGGCCAACAACCCTTTTAATACGTCGATCGAAGTATCTCGGTACACGCGTACCATACACCGTCGATTCTCTCGTTCCACTCAGATCTACATGACCCCGTTTTCGTCTTAAATCATACCCAATTGTTTTTAACAGACGACATCCTCCATAGCGAACTTTTTGCGCAACCGGTGGCCCACAGTGAAGGGTTTTTCGTGCGTGCCAGTATTCTGATTAGTCGCGCAACAGGACTCGGTTAATTGATAGAAACAAAGCGGGATCCATGATTTCTCGTTTCACGCGTAGAAGACTGGCTTTTAACTATTTTTACAATTATATACTGCCTGGTGTTACAATGTGGTTTCAATCGATGCGTTGTAACTTGATTGAATCTCGGTTACATACGAACGAGTTTAATTGGGGTATAAAATACTTTACATTAAATTAACGTGTCTAACACGCCATTCCTCTTGTTTATAACCGTCCCCCTCTCTCTCTCGAGCGTCTTGGGTTCCCGAAGAGATGGGTTATGAATGAATGATTATCATCGATCGAAATTTCTATGATGGTAACGCTCCGCGAAGACACGACAATTTGTTAAAATTTGTAAAATTGAAGTATAATTAAATTTCATCAATTCATTCTTCAACCAGAATAGAAATTTTCTAGCTTGTAACAGTATAAATGAAACCGAAGTGGCGTCATGCGTAATGTGTATCAAAATGTCCATGAATATGATCTTGCGAATACATCATCCTTCACATTTGTTTAATGATCGTAGCTTGGTTACGACGCGACGATGTAAATCACTTAAAATAAGCAGGAACATTTTTGAGACGCAAAATATAATAAAAACTGAATTATGTCGTAAACATCGTTTAATGTCCATGCGACTGTTGATTATATTAGGGTGATAAAAAAGTATCTTTGTGGTCGTACTTTTTCTGGCATGAATTATTCCTTCCTAGTAAATCGGCCAACGAGTGTAAACTGTTTCTGTGATTGTTAGCAAGAAATACACAGCGCACTACCTAACAGAATTTGCAGAAACCGGTTTCGTTCTTTTTATAAAGATGATATCGGGATCGATTTGGTCCGTTCTAATTGAATCTCGACATTGAAAAATTACATTACTAGAACAGGAATAACATGTTGCTGCAGGGGAATACTAATGTTTCATTATTAATTCACTACCAATTAGGGATTAATAAAATTAAAATTCCTAGAATTTAAAAAATTACTACTTGTATAGCGTGTAGTTCTTTGTTCAGGAATTTCATCTGACCTTTGTGATTTTGTATCGATCCGGTACCATTCGGTTCCAACGATAAAAATCGCTTTAGGAACACATGAAGGGCCATCAAGTTCCCTCGTCGCCGGAAATCGTTGGAAATATCACGGACAGAAAACATGGTCTCAAGTCGGACGGAAATTAATTTAGAAAATGCACTCCAACGACTCGGTAGACTGCCACCACGGGCTACGTTCGATGGTTATTAATTAAATCTAACCCACGGCGTTGAATTTTTTTGTGTTAATACTTCTGCCGTTAATTACCGGACTCTGGTTGTGTTTGCATTTCTATTCTTACTCTGCAGAGAAGACGGATATCGTTGAATCAACGGTAACGTTATAGTACTTTAAAACGTTGAATCGTAACTGGTTAAATTGATGGAAATTTTATACCTTGAAATGCGAGCAAAGGTAACTGTGTTATCGTTTTGTATGCAGTTACGGTAACATTGCTTGAAAGCTGGCCGTAATTTATAGCAAAGAATGAATCCAAGTATTTTTAGTGAAAAGTTGCGATTTGCAGTTATGTCCATTTGAGGTTAGGTTATCTTTTTAAATACAAAATAAAAAAAAAAATAATAAATCAATTTAATAACATAAATTGTTTAATAGCTTTTTAAAAGTTGGATACTTTTAGGTATTGAAAGATGGCGGATGATCTTCATCCGGAAATGAAAGCAGGTGTGGAGGGAACGGAAGAGACTTATTAAAATTTTTCTCGAATATTCTGCAGCGACTGATTAAACTTTTTTAAAGCTGGCGAAACTCCGAAGACTTGTTTATACTAGTTCCTATTCCAACTTTCAGAGAATTCTTAATTTAAAAAAGTCTTTCATACCCGTTGAAAGCGTCAGCCATATTGTTGGACACTTTAAATGTTTCTTTGAAACCTTTTTTCTGTTTGCTCCCGTTTCCGGAAGGACGATTTTGAAACTTTACGTGTTATATTACATCAAACAAAGTTTCGATTGTACAATTATAATTTTCAATCGAAACCTTTGAAAGCGGGAAATACAAGGCTCGTTGGGAGTATAACCTCGCTAATTACTCGAATCGAACTTGGATCTGATTGCCTTCAAAACCGTTCGAGATATCGAGATGTAAGCTCTCGACGATGCAATTTCCCAGATAGATCAACTCAAACCCATGGCTTTTTATCGATTACCGTTATCCGTCGAAAACAATCGACCAGTATGCTACAGCGAGCATTCGTTATTATTCGATACTTGTGAGTCAACGAATGTGATTTTACTTTTACCGTCTGTGCTGTAATCTTCCATCTAAAGAAATCCTTTCGAAGGTTTGTTCAGCCGGATGACGATACCGTACGGGTACTTCCTTGTTTCTTTTTCTTCATATGCGTGTCTCCGTCCCGTTTTCTCGTTCGTTCGAGCAATAAGGAACGTTCAAGTATCGGCGTAGTTCCGTTATCCGCGGTAAATACACGTCGTGCATCCTGTACGTTTTGCCTCCGTTGAAAATAAACAATATAATATATATATATATATGCACCGATGGATGTACGTTACTGATCCGATGCACATGGTGTCCTCGAAGTTGCTCGATTTTATTTCTACCCGGAAATATTCTGCGTAACCTTTGCCATGTATCAGTATTTCCCATTGGCGGTGATTGATGGCGGTTCAAAATGGCGAAAAAATTTTTTGAACAGAAGGCGGGAAAAAGGATAACAGTAATTCCGATGATGGATTATGTTCATGAACACTATTTTTCTTTTGAAAGCAGTGAAAATTGAATTTCTCTTTTGTTTTTTATTTAATTATTTTGTAATATAGATACAAATTTTTCACAGAATAATTCTATGAAATAGACTATACAAAACGAGTATGTATGTATGTACACAAATCCTTCGAACAATTGAGACGTACTGCTCACCAATCACAAGAAGTTGCATGCGAATAACGCAATCTGATTGGTCGTGCCCCACCTCAGCTCACACGTACTTTCAGTCGTGACATATGACTGGTCGAAGCGATTACATCTACTAATTAGACTCGTGTTAAACTAGGGGATCAGTTGATGTGTGCGTAGTATCCCCCTCTTGCCCCTGTGCCGTCCAGCGGGACTTCTTGCGAGCAGAGAACAGTATTTATACTATAGCCCGGAAAAACCAGCTAGCACGTAACATCTGCGTTGAAAACTAGGGGCATCAAACGTATAATCATCGCGTACGTATGTATTATATAGAGAGACGGTGTCGCAGCCGTGTTTTCAGTGGTATCTGCATAATATGCTCTCGAAAACCCGCTCGCAGCTTCTTGCAGCGTCGAAAGGGGTGTGCAACACCATCGAGGGAAAAAACCGTGATTCTAGGGGGATGAGGGATAGGGGATGATGGGGTTGAATTAGACGTTAAGCTGCGTGGTACGGCTCGAACGGGTAATTCGAATCGATCGTGAAATCTGCCTCGACTTTGTGGTCCTCTTGCATCACCGGTCTGGCCGTGCGAATTGAAAAGAAAGCACACAACGCGGAACGACTTCGCGTCATCGCTTGCTATAGATTCCTGACCCTGGTTCAAGCCTGGAAACGGTTCCACGCGGTTCCTTCTCGGTCTACGAGTTTCAGCATCAGTCTCAAGGATAAGCATGTCGTTTAGTTGCGTTAGTCGGAGAAACGAACGCTTTTGCGGTTGCAGGGTGCTGCGCCCAGGCAAAGGGTATAGTATAGCCGGATAAGATAGTAAAAAGTGCTACTAAACCAAATTTGACTTGCAATGGCTCATTCGATAGTTTATGAAGAAAAAATAGTCCTGTATCTCATCTTGGGAGGTAATAATGGGCAAAAATGTAAAATCACGGTTTTTCAGTACATTTTTCCTATGTTTGTGGATGAAAAATTCTGAAAAAAATCAGAAACATTTCTATCTATATGGCACATATTATAGGAGGTTTGCAGATTTTTTAATTGAAAGCCCAAGCTGTCAAAAATCAAAATCCCCCAAAAATGCTAAAAAATATGGTGGTAAGTGTATATTCTTTTATTTACTGTTTGATGTTTTATTTAAGTGTTTATTTTTTGTTCAGGTGCGTAGTTGAAAAAGAAAATAGAAATTTTTAACGTACTTTCAATCAATCCGATTTATTTAGTTTCTTTAATTCCTATTCTGTTTCACTGTACGTAAAAACATTCAACATATTATAACACACTTATTTGATAAAGAGCAGACAAAACTTTGGCGTATGAGTAACTATGACATGCAAAAATGGCGGAAAAATCAGTTTTCATTTATTTTTTTAACTATGGCGTACCCGAACAAAAAATGTCACAAAAATTGAGAATAATAGTATCAATGATATACACTTATAAAAAAAAGTATGAATTCAGATCTGCGACTCCTTCAATACAAAATTGCCATTTTTCAGCATTTTTGGGGTTTTTTCAATTTTTTACATTTTGGATTTTCAACTTAAAAATCTGCGAAGCTCCTGTTGTATGTGCATCATATGTAAATAGAAGTATCTCTGATATTTTTCGGAATTTTTCATCACAAACATAGGAAAAATTGACCAAAAAACGTGATTTGACATTTTTGCCCATTAGTACCTTCCCAGATAAGATATAGGGTTGAAGACTTGGCACAGACTATTTTTTCTTCATAAGCTATCGAATGAGCCATTGCAAGTCAAATTTGAAATATATCCTTTTAAGTCTAGTATTGTAACCGTTACGTTTGAAGCAGCTGGATGAATGAAGATCCCCCTTGGGACCGATGAATGTGGCCTGTGAATGATTCAAGGCATTCCAGGAACAGTTATTCCAACCAGCTGATATTTGGATCACTATGTTGAGAATAATTTGAGATTTACCATGAGGTAAATCCGTGTATCTCAAAATGATAGTAAAATATATTTTATTTTATTTAAGTATTTATAAACTGTAGTTTTATATACAGTTCTGAATTACAATTCTCTTCTGCACATTTTAGTTAACACCTGGACGTTTTAATACATCTGCGTGAACTCGGCTTTCAAGATGCGTGTCTGCGGCGTTTCTTTCCCTTCGGTAGGAACAGAAAATGTGAAATCATTAGAATTTCCGGTGGAAGCAAGTCCCTTCGTTCTTCTCTCGTTATCTCGAGGATTTATGGAATACTTCGCGTTTTACCGACACTGTACATTTTTAATAGCCCGGTTAACGAAGAGTGATAATTGTTCCTCGAATAGAAATCTACCTCGATCTTAAATGACAATAATTATGTAGAATCGCGTCAGTTAACGGATTCAGTATTCCAATATTTAAAAGCAAATGGATTATTCGAGTCTTTGTGTATAATTTAATACAATTATCGCTCTTTTCTTTCAAATTTTGTGTTTCTAGAGCAAACTAAACTCGTAAAATAATTATCACTAGAATAATTTTGTCAAAGGATACATGGACATTATTAAACCTTTGCTGTACTTTTTTTTCACCATTTTCACCAAAGCTAACTACTCATTGCTGTAATGTTGATGCAAATTAAATAATTCGAAATATTGTGCATATATTATATTTAGAGATTCTCGGCTGTGTAAATTCTAACTGAAATTATACTTCAAATTCTATTATAACACAGGTACGGTTCAGTTTTGTCACATTAGAACTATAAGGTGCGTCACGAGTGTGTCTCGTCATTATGTGGCAAGGGTTTAATTATCCAAAAATGAATGAAATATTACAAAGTGGTTTCTGCACGCGACAGCTACCCTTGTGTGAAAAATATCACGTGTGCGTCCTAACACGACAACCACAGCCTTTAGAATTGGAGTAATGAAATCATGGAAAAAGAAGATCCACTAATTTACTTTACATATGTATATGGTTAGGCAGAGTGTGCTATTTTTATAGTCTAAAAGGGAAAAAGGCTTCTCGCAATATTTTCTAGAAAGGTCTATCATGCTCGATTCTGTACATAATACTATAGGGTAAATCAGGTAAAGTGGTACAAACTATTATCTCGGAAACTATAACAGCTATTCACCTAATTCTTTTTTTAAATTAAATAGTACGAAGTGCTTGATTGTGTGGTGTATAATAAAATTTTTCTAAACTGGCTACCATAAGATCAGAATAAACTGACGTCGTCCTTCTTAAATGGAAAGCTATACCTAATCTTTTTTATTTAAATAACTTTTATCAAATTGAATAACATTTACTTGAACCATTTTTTGATATCCTTCATATGCGGCGTCCAAGGAAAATGAAACAGACGTATTTTATGTTAAAATTCATTTGATTAAATATTGAACATGTGTTCTTTTTTTTTTTTTTTTTTTTAATATTATAACTGTTATAATATTGTGTATTGGACAACATTATTGCAGGTACCGACTTACAAACATTTTGCATTCGATTTTTTCTTATAGGAGTAGTTAAAGGATAAAGTAATGGAAACTTGACTTATCACAAAAGAACATATGAAAACTCGAATACAAAATGCTTGTCAGCTGAAACGAATAAATACCTACATGTTTACATTAATAAAATGAATTTTAAAGTAAAGTACGTCTGTGTTAATTTTCCTTATTTGCTCCTTCAACATTCCCTTTGCCATAAATCGTTAACTATTACGAATATCAAAAGATGGTTCAAGTAAATGTTATCTAGTTTGATAAAAGCTATTTAAATACAAACAAAAAGGAAAGAAAGAAATTAGTATAGTATCTCATTTAAAACAGATAACGTAGGTTTGTTCTGACTCCATGATAGCCGCTTTAGAAAAATTTTGTATACACCACATAATCAAGCATTTCGTAGCATTTAATTTAAAAAAAAATTAGCTCGATAGTTGCTACAGTTTCCGAGATAATAGTTTGTAACACTTTACCTGACTCATCGTGTATAAATTTCATATACAACTCAAAATTAACATTGTTACAGTTATACAGTTATTCTCATACGAGAATGAAAAACGGCGACAAAGTGATTTATTAGAACTACTTCATTCCATTCACGAAGACCATTCAGCCAGATTTCCCTTTTCAATCCGGGAGCCGACAATAGTCGCTTATCATCAGTCGAACGAATTCGTATGCTCGCTGTTCCGGAAGCGTTCCTCGACTCGCAAATCACTGCCCTTACCAAAGATGGTGATGGTCAGTGTTCGTCGTACATACAAATAACCATCTGCCCGTATGATTTTACGTCAAATCGTACGATATTGGCACTTCATATCTGCGGGCTTTCAATCATAAAAATAGCTTTCATTTATGAATACTTTAATAATTTCAGTCACGATTCATCTAGGCGTCGTTGTTCATTAATTAAGTACACTCCATCAGATGATATTTTAATTAAATACTATTCTCGTGAGAGCTAGAGACTCGCTATCTAATCTATAGATCTTAATACATTTACATACTGTACACACTCAGGTAACCGAGATTTTTCAATTAAAAAGAAAATGCGAGAAATAATGTCCCCCTAGGCTCTCCCTAGTCTCTCCAAAGATTGAAATCAAATTGAAAACCCTACGTTGCATCGAAATGTACAACGGTATGCTAATATTATTAACTACTTCCTAAATGCAGAGTGAAGTATAAAACTCCCATCTTCCCATACCCACAGTCATCAAGGAATCATCAACAATAGCGTCCAGTTAAAATGTTGGCGTTAACAGGTGTGCTTTCAATCAAGTTCATTGACTCTTCAGAGAGGTTCAAGATTATTACACAATGGTTACAGAAACAATTCCATACGGTTTTACAAAATAAACGAGCCGACTTAATTCTAATCTGTGTTATAGAACGTTAACCTACTTATAACGCATTCTCACATAATTCGCGAATCTACGAGTCATCTAAACGTTACTTCCTCATTTTCCTCACATTCCAAGATCTTTAGAGACTCAATAAAGCTTTCGAATTCTGTATCGTGCAGTACGTCGCACCAATATTATGGGAATATACATATTGTACGAATAGAGGATTGCATACCATCTTTGCAGCTGAGATCAATGCAACACACTCGAGAGATATATTCCATGCAGCTGCACATCAATTTGTCATAGGAATCTGCGCAGGTTGCTATTACAATTGAGTTGAATTATTTACAGTACGCAGTATACAGAGGGTAGATGGACAACTAGCAAGCAGTTGGTCACTTTGAGGACATAAGTAAGAGTACTTTAGTACTGGCTTCAAGTATTACATCTACATAAATTTAATAAATTTATTGGTTCTTATCGGATGTCCTGTATACTCTAAAAATATCCTTAAATTCAATATTATATTCCTTTTTATTATTATAGGCATAACCATGTGGAGGTTCCGTTATCTTCACGGTCACTGAAAATGAAATAATTATCATGGTCAGCATGGATATCATCTTTCTTTCTGTTTCGTTGAACTGATTACGTGACGACGTAATTGTCGCGAGGGAATGACGAGAAGATGACGGCATACTCGGTCACCTAAGCTCACACTTATTCCTCAGTTCCTCCTACACGACTGTTCATAATTAAATGTCCGCCTGTTTCGTTCAATCGTCCTCCTCTGTCGCGGATGTAACGAGCAAACCGTCTTAATGCCTTCGAGAAGGAAACGTGAATTACCGTGATACTTGTACAAGGTTTAATGATTTGGTTCTCATTGCTGTAGGGCTTCCGCCACCCCTATAACTCCCATTCCTTCTCCTTTGTGTTTCAGAATTAAATTAAACGAGCAAAGAACTTACCGAGTATAATCTAATTCTTTACTACATCCGGTTCTTCCTTTATTTTATTTTCAGTGGGGACAAGTTGTCTGTATAATAGTGATGTGCGGCCCAACTATTCGGGTCGGGTCGGTTCGGAAAACATCAGGCAGGCGTCCGATACATGCATGGGGGAAACTTCCGAAAGGCCCCACCACCCCAGGACAGCCAAACTTCGAATTTATAGTAATTGAGGGACGAGAAATCGAATGAGACCATTTTCAGAACTGGCAAATAAACCGTTCTCGAGATATACAGGGTATTCCAAAAGTGCGGAAACCCCCTATTATCTTGATAAGAACGCATTTCCACTGACTAACTTAACCCTAACCCTAACCCTAACCCTAACTTAGGTTAGGTTAGTCATTTTCCGTGTAAATGCGTTCTTATCAAGATAATAGTGGGTTTCCGCACTTTTAGAATACCCTGTATATCTCGAGAACGGTTTATTTGCCAGTTCTGAAATTGGTCTCATTCGATTTCTTGTCCCTCAGTTACTATAAATCCGAAGTTTGGTTGTCCTGGGGTGATGGGGCCTTTCGAAAGTATACCCTATCTTATTTCTAAAATTCCATATAAAACAGATTTTGCACATGCTTATTGCAAGTATGTATTAACAAGCACATGATTGTTGGGCCGCGAGTTGCGGGAGCTCGTCCGAATCTGCCCGACTGTACCCGACCGAATCCGAAATAGTCGGACTACCGACTGTACGCATGTATCGGACGCCCGCCCGAGCCCCTAATATCGGGTACCCACACATCCCTACTGTATAAGAATGATGGTTCATTTTTTCATGAGAATCCATTACCGATATTATGAATTAAGAATTTCTTGCTATACCTACATAATTAGAAATATTCATATACTTGAAATTATGAGTGATAGACATAATAAAATATTATAAAAATAGTAGATGAAACTTGGTCATTTTGAACTTATGTTAGATCTGAACCTACCCAAATAATATCTCTTCTGTTATAGCCATTTCCTTCTTTTCAAGTAGGAATTCATAAGAACTGGAATGAGAACCGACACCACTGCTGACGCGACTAATAATAAAGTCTTTATTCATTGTAAAGTTTTATCGAATCTCTTTTTTTGAGTCTAGTTCCTGGGATATTGATTTATAACACCAGATTAGCTGACTCACCCCGTATGACCCAGAAAATCAGGAAGTTGAGAGGCCGATTAGTAAACGGCGTTAATGTACATTAATTGATTACAAACTTTTCAGTGAATATACATTAACAATCATTTCGATGTTTTTTTTAAATTGAGCATACATAGAGATTGAGATATTGATGAACTACGTATAATGGTTCTAACAAAGTTTGGACAGCTATAAATTTTTCAACTCCACAGAGATAACGTAACCATTGATGAACAACAATAACATCGATGTACTTTAGGAATTGAACACGATCGGTATTCAATATTTATGCGAATATATGCGTGGTTTGCTTTAAATACTGACGTTCATGCCATACATTTTATCAATGTAAAAGTTCAGAAGTTTGTTCAAGCAAAAAAATTTCACCTGGCAAAATGAAATAATATTCACCTCCAAAGCAAAGAACTTTTTAATATAAATAACTGGGTTAACAAATCCATCAAATTTTCTAAAGCCAACCAAGCAGAGTGAAAAACATTCGCTATCAAAAATAGGGTAGCAAACGTTCTGCATTATTGAGTTCTTCATTAGACAATTCCCAGAGGAGACGGGAATGAAATATTGCACGAACTAGCGTGGTTATCGTATAGTTTTATCAAAATGGAATTCACTTCTATATCTGACAGCTTGATTATTAATCTACCTAGAAGATGAATGCTATTTTCCATCTCTTTTCCCCTCTGATTCATTAAAGCAAGCAAATGGCTTAATGGAAGTTTGTCTTGAAATGTCATGGATCATCCAAAGTGACCTAACTCGCAGAGAATATATCTGAATGAATTAAAACATTCAAAAAAATGTATTCGATGAAGAAATTATTGATTCTGACCAAAGATCACGTTAGGCTCTTCTATGTTTCTCCTCGTCTCTGTCATGTTCCAATTCGGTCCATTACAATTCCATGAAGCAGAGCCGCTTTCCGATTATCTTGCAATCAGTCTTCGAGTATGGAATAAACGTGGCGGAGCCTGTAACGAGTGCGTGCACTAGAATGGCAAGACTAACTGGGTTAACGACGACGGGTCACGGGGAAGCCTCGAATGTTTTCGCTTACTAGAATCACCTACCTATAGTATTCTTCTCGACTCGTTGGGAAGAACGTGATACGTCGACGGCGAAATCAGATTCAAGATACAGTGGACAAAATTTGTATAAGAACACTACTGTTTTTAATGAAAAGTCTTAAATAATTCAATAATATAGGGGGTTTTTTATTTATTTATTTATTTTTTTTGATAGAACTTTGAGAAAGAATAACGGTAAAAGCATATTTCATTATATGTTCTGTATTCTTAATTTTTGTTTGTTAGTATCTGACAAATCATTATACTAGTTATGAATAGACTCACACTTGAAGA